AGTTTCCAACAAACTTGGCGCGAATTCAAAAGTTTCAACCCATTTTTACACTACTGTACAGAACATAAAGTTGTGACCATTTAAAGTTAAGTGATCAATGATCATTGATCACCTACTTTGGAATTTGCGACTGCCACAATCGACCCAACTTTTTTTGATAAAACTTGGAAAAGTTCAAACTTTCGGATTTGGCGCGAATTCAAAAGTTTCAAATTATCTTCAGCCTACATTGCATTATTGCCTGAGGCGATTATAACGCGAAAGCATTTTTGATTACAATTTCAGGCATCGATATGAAACTTTATTCGAGAGTGGACCTTAAGGCACCAGTTTCGCCGCACCTGCGTCACTAATTGTATATACATACCTGTAAATTAATTATTTGAACCCATGCTCTATATTTGAATCCCGCCTCATTCGCGACCACACATATTTGGCAACATGGATTCAAGAGGAGGCCGGCCGATTCCTCCCATGTCGACCACTTTCTCGGAGATGGTCAGACGGTGGCCCTACAGTACATTGCTGATCATCGCCAGCGATTTTGTCTTCATGTTCTCGTCCATTGGAGGTAACGGTGAAAAAATGAAAAAGGACAAATGTTGCGGTTATTTGATTTAAGAGATCAATGATCACAATCGGATTTTTAGATGGCCATAACTTTTTTGAATTGCAAATTTTTTTCCGACAGTACTTGCCTGGAGGCATGCCATACTTTTTGGAACTTAGAAAATATAAAAGCTGTGACCTTTTAAAGTTAAGTGATCAATGATCATTGATCACCTAACTTTAAAAGGTCACAACGTTTTTATTTTCTCAGCTCCGAATTTGTTTCAAAAGGTATGTTATTACTCATTTTCAGTCCTCTCGGCGGGTCCTATCTAACGGTACATTGCTCGGATTCATGTTCCAAAATTTTCTTCCAGAAAAAAAATTTGGTACAAAATTGAGATTTTTTCCTACATAATCAAAGATTTTACCGAAAAAACTAAATTTGCCCTGAGGAACTCTCCTACTCTCGAAAAAAAACTCCGACAGTACAAAATGGAAACATTTCAGCGTTGCTGGTGCTCTACCTCCTGAACGTGCTCAAGTTTTCCGAGAACCACGCGACAATGTTTTATAACGGTTTCAGCATTGTCAATCAAATTGCGCCCATATTTGGCGCGATCTTCGCTGATGGATACTGGGGAAAGTACCGGTAAGTAACTTTTTACCTGTCCACTTGAGTCAAAGGTGATTCACCTTTCATTTCAGCACAATAATGTACTGTTCCATTGTCTATTGCGTGGGAAAGGTCATATTCGTCGGACTTTCTTCCATGGATTACTGGAGCCCGTTCCATCCTTGGCTTGACATCATTGCTCTGTTGATCATCTACATGGGCAATGCAGGTGTCAGTCCGTGCGTGCGACCTTTTGCGGCAGACCAGGTAGAATAGGTGTCGCAATTTTGGTGACACTGCTATAGAAAAAGACACTTATGTTTTCCACAACTTCCTGTCTTCATGGCTTTAAATTCGAGATTTTTCCATTTTTTAAGGGAAAAGTTTAAAAATCAAAGATCAAAGTTCAAATCTGATCCCGGATTTGGATTCACCGGGGTCGATTTACTTTATAGGGGTTTCATCATATTGACTCAAACCCCCTTCGTACCGCCTTCGTACCCCTTTAACAATAATTCAATATTCAAACGCTCATTTTGGCGCCTTGTAACACGATGACAATAGCCGCCTCTAATTTAAACCTCGCCCATACAGCAAAGACATATCCCTTTGATGCTTCATACGAGAATGGGTTTGAATTGCCGCCAAACTGTCATTTCATTATAGAACATTCTAGAAGAGTGAGTAATGCCTCAAATAAATTCTGAAGTTTTGGGCTTTCGATTGAATCATTACTCACCCTTCTAGAATGTTCCAAAACGGCTTTGGCATTTTCTGGTGTTGACCGCGAATTCAAATCCATTCTCACTTTTGAAGCATTCAAGGAATACGTCGGTGTCAATTTTTTGAAAAATGGCTACTTTTTACTGGTCGAAAACGGCATTTTTTGATACAATGCTCATCCGGGACTAAGTTTTTCTGGGTTTTATCAAGTTTTTTTCCCCGAAAATGATCAAAAATTTGATTCCATATATTTTTGTGTCCAAAACACGTTTTTTTGTAGTTTCCGGTCCACGAAGAGCAAATGTTATCGATTTTTTTCTCTGCTTCCTACGCCATGAACAACGTCGGATACTTGATCGCTGGTCTGGTGCTGCCCATCGTAAGAGGTTTGTGTAAATAGAACAGTTATTTGCACTTTAGCAGAAAAAGCAAGAGTGAGTCAAATGTGACGTGAAAGTAAAGGTGATTTTGAAAAAAATAGCGGAATATTGATTTTACACCAAACTTGAAACTTTGACATTTTCTGGAAAAGTTCCGTGATTTTATTTTCTGGATTTTTTCTGGATCTTCCTTTGATCAGAAATGACAAATTTACTCGCGCGAAAGTTCAAGATGGGTATGCCATCCCAGAGTTCCTACCGAGATACCTTACAGATATACCGTATAGGGTTCCTAGACAGGTATCGAGATCTCAGGTGTAACTTATCGAGATCTCACTTGATAAGGATCGGTCCCAGGTATCGAGATCTCAGGTGTAACTTATCGAGATCTCACTTGATAAGGCTCGGTCCCAGGTATCGAGATCTCAGGTGTAACTTATCGAGATCTCACTTGATAAGGCTCGGTCCCAGGTATCGAGATCTCAGGTGTAACTTAAGCCTGAACCTAAGTCTTGCATCAAGCCTAATCAATCCTAATACCCTTAGGCGAATACGCGAGATATCGAGATCCGCCCGCCTCGGTAGGGCCCCGAAATGGAATGCCCATCTTTCACGTTCCCGAATTGCCCTTCCCACCTGAACAATGTACTTTAGCTCAACCGTGCTTCGGCCACGACACCTGTTACCCGCTTTCGTTTGGAATCTCGGCCATTCTCGTCTCGCTGTCATTAGGTAAACTGTTCTGCGTTCTTCTTTGAACTTACCTTCAACACCGTTATCTCTGATCACCTTTAGCTGTATTCGTAGTCGGGAGCAAATGGTACAAGAAAACGCCTCCAACGGAAGGTAATGTCTTCAAGGACGTCTACGATATCGTAAAGGTAATACATTGGATAGATACCGTATTTCCTCTAATAAAGCCCCCCTATAATTGGGCCCCCCAGAGAAAGAGAAATAGTGTGTAAAAGTGAGAGGTTAGAGAAAAATATTGCCATAATTTGGGGGATTGAATTAATTAAGCCTTAATTGGAGATACGGTAACTGAAAATACGGTAACTGTTTCACCTGAATGCCTTCTCTCAAGACTTGTACTATTGAAAATTTCAGAACTCTTTGAAAAACCGTTCAAAGTCATCAAAGAAAGTGCAATCGCACTGGTTGGACTATTATTTTGTCTCGCATAACTGCGAAGCTGATTCCAAATGCTTGCACTTGCAAAGACAAAAGAGAATCAAATCGGTCTGCCACAAGGTATGAAATGTTGCATAATACAGTTGATTGTAAAAATTTTGACATTTTTGTAATTTATGAAAAATTTTTAACTAATTTTGTACAAAAATTGGCATTTTCCTGCAAATAATCGGTGGGAGTTCTATGAAAACTTTCACTTTCTGAGGGACAAATCGAATTGAAAACCTTTTATGGAAAAAAAACTAACGTTTTTCTGTAAAGCTGAGCTTTGTAACGACAATATCTCCAAGAATTTCCAACCTTTTTTGCAGAAAAAGATGCTTCTAGACTGACTTTTTTCTCGTTTTAGAGACAATTTGTGGACGACGTGAAAACTCTGTTTCGCGTGATGCTAATGTTTTTCCCGGTTCCTGTGGTAAGTTTGCGCATTCCAAGTCTTAAAATTTGGTAATTCTCCAAAATTGTTGGCACTTTTTGGTTGATTATTTCAACATTTTCATAGTTTTGGGTATTTGCAGTTTTTAACAGTTTTCACTTGAATGAAAAATTTTAGTTTTGTATAGATTTAAAATGACCAAAAGCGCGCCGATTTAAAACGATAGTTGTTGAACAACAAAAGTTGCATTCATTCCAGTACGTTGCCTTATACGACCAGCAATACACCACCTGGCTCATCCAGGCCATTCAAATGGACTGTCGCATATTCAATGGCAGAATACTTTTAATCCCGGAACAGGTGACAATTTTTTTTCTAAAGTTTGTATAAACGATTTGAATTTTAGATGCAAATATTCAATCCAATCTTGATCATATTTCTGATTCCGATTCTCGAATCTTGCATTTATCCGTTTATTAGACGCTTCACCGCTGTCACGTAAGAATTTTTGGATTCTTTGGCATTGGTTCGAACAGTGATTTAAATAAGAAAGTGAAAGTACTGCAACCAAAACTTTGGCGCTACTGCAGTATACCCCGGCCCCAAAAATTTTTTTTTCGAAATTTCTTGCAAACCACCTAATTTGGGGTAATTTGATGCGCTGACTCCAAAAAAATTATTAGTTTTTTGGTTTGAGGCGATTTTTGCCTACTTTTCGTGTCGGGACCACAATTTTTGTAATTTTTTTTCGCTCAAAAATGTAAGGAAACGCTGAATTCGAACCACGCTGAATTCGAGTTTGACATTTGTTTTTGTTTGGTCCTACCACGAAAATGTGGAATTTGGCGTTTTTTTAGGCTCAAAATGTTCAAAATATGTCAAAAACGACCATTTTAGGGCCATTTATGGTGGCTATTAAGCCTAATGACCTTGTTTATGTCCTTATAAATATTTCTTTTGGGCTAAACAACCCATAGGCATACTTAGGCTTAAGCGTTACGCTTAGGTTTAGGCATTAGACTTAGTCTTAACTTGCCTATCCTTACGTTTTTGAGCGAAATCAGAAATTTTAAAAATTGTGGTCCCGACACGAAAAGCGGGCTAAAATCGCCTCAAATCAAAAATTTGGTCATGCCAACCTTTTAACATTCGAGAAAAAAAATGTTAGCAGCGCCTCGTTTCGATCGAGGGACCTCTGGGTGGTCCATAGATCTATGGGCCCAGCACGCTTCCACTGCGCCACGCTGCTACTTGCACTCAAATGAACAAAATGTGCTTACAATTCCTCCTCACAATTATTTCATAGCGCAAACCCAGTTTTAAATTCGCGCCAAATTATAATTGCGTGCCAAAGGGGTAAAAATGGGTAGCTGAAAGTTTTTTAATGACGGGGATTACTCGGCAGGGGTCTCCTCTAGAGATTGGTAAAAAAATTTGAGTGGGGCATTATTAGAATCAAAATTTTCACAGTCAACAGTTTTCCCTATTGGAGGAGACTCTGTTCAGCATCAGGAAAAGAGCCTCCTCTAATAGGGAAAAGTGTTGACTGTGAAACTTTTTACTCTAATAGGGCCCCACTCAAAAAATTTTTACCAGTATCCGGAGGAGTCCTCGAGCAAGTAATCCCCTCATTAAAAAACTTTCAGCTACCCCTTTTTACCCCTTTGGCACGCAATTATAATTTGGCGCGAATTTGAAACTGGGTTTGCTCTATGAAATAATTGTGAGGAGGAATTGTATATACTCAAGGATGGGATCTGTCCTTATTTCTAAGATTTGTCCTTATTTTGAGGGTCCAAATCTTAGAAAAATAAAATGTCCTTATTTCTAAGATTTGTCCTTATTTTCGGCCAATGTCCTTATTTTGTCCTTATTTTACGCAATATCCAATTTCAAATGGGAATTTTTGAAATAAAAGCAACTTTTCCTAAAAATTTTCGCCTGCGGCGCTATTTGGATGCCACTTTTTCTCCAAGTATTTAAAAATAGTGCAAATTTTTATGAATATCGCCTAAAATTGAAAAATTTTCGCCTGCGGCGCTATTTTTTCATTCATGCAGAATAAAATATTGGCATTATATTTTCGGTGCGAATTTTAAAAATTTGAAAAAATGCACCCCTAAGAATGCACTTGGAAAAACTTTTTGCTAAAAAACCATAGGGGGGACCCTATGGTTTGAAAAAATTATAAAAATGTCCTTATTTTTGACCCCGAAATCTTAGTTTTTGGGGCAAATGTCCTTATTTTTGGAGCCGAGTCTATGAAAACCCTGAACTAGTTAAAGAGACATATGTAATAAAGTTATGATGATCAGGTATGATATGATGTTTGAGGTGGCTAAAGACCAGGTAGGAGACGCGTTAAATTCTTACATATATAGGATCGATCTAAGTCTTGGCGGAAGTCAAAAAATCTTGAGGATCATCTGGAAGAGAGGAAGAGAATTTTTTACTTCACGAGACGCCATGAAACGCGCCAGTACGAAGCGAGATCGGACGCCGTAGTGGGGAGATTATAGATCTTTATCTCCCTCAAATTTAGTCTTTAATCTCGTGATATCTCCTGATATCTTAGTGCAAATATTAGAAAAGTATATTTCCTACCTGGCCGTTCGCCAGCACGTTGCGTGTACAGTTACACTCGACCTCGGACTCGTTCTACTAAAATTACCATTATACCCCTCTTCCCTTAACGGGGGGTTCCAGAGGGAGTTGGTCATAGCTTTTTTATTTCCATACTAGGAATAGTTGATGACTTTTTCAAAAATGTAGGGGCAATTGTCTAGTTTCTAAACATTGAAGAAAAAATTTTTAACTCTCATTTAACCCCCTAAAATATGCAACTCCCTCTCTGTATGCAAATCCATAATATAGGAAAATTCGAAAGTTTCTAGTGTGCAAATAAGGATTCTGGGTGGTAAAAAATGAAAAAATGAGGTGTGTGGAGCGTTATACCATATGGTAACTGTGAAAACGTTCATATCATAACGTTCATACACATCATACCTATGAACTTCATAGGTATGATTGAAAATGAGGAAAAACATAGCGTGACAGGTTCCTAAATCCAACCAAAAGTTCTGCCAAAGTCAGCCAAAACCGCATGCTTTTTTCGTTTCAATAAGTAAAGAGCATTTTCAGTTATTAAAGTGCATAGTTGACGGCCACCCAAATTTTATCCTGACACGATAAGCTCTTGAATTGAAAAACTTTGACATCCTACGCTTAAAACTTGGCAGCTTATACTCCTGCTCGACCCATAATATCATACTTCCTTAGTCTATGCTCTCTCTCGTCTACACTCTTCTATATCTCTAGTCTCATGTGACATTTTTAAGCAATGTCTTGTTGTTGCTCTACGTGTAAAACACTGCGCAACTCTCCTGACTAGCCCTATCGTTCGTGAGGTCACAAGGGCATCGAAAAAATGTATTTATTATTATTTTTTTTTTTTTGGAGCCGAGTCGATCATATCCCTGTATATACTACACCTTTCTTTTTTCAACTTGCTTTGAAATCATAAATATCGGATTTTCTCCCTGAAAATAATGTGATAATTTTAAATTTCGTTTTGTTTACTATTTTTATACTATTTAATAATAGTAATAACTAGGGATTGATCCCCCCGCGGGGGATCCCCGTTTTTCCCCTTCCCCGTTTGCCACGGGGAAAACGTGGATCCCCGTTCAGAAAGCAGGGAACTTCACAGTGACCATTGAGCATTCTAAAAGAGTCCAGAATGTTCTAGAAGCTTCTAGAATGTTATATCACATATGACATTAACTTATCATGCGCAGGTTCCGTAAAGTATCTCTCAGGTAACATAAAAATATTGCAGGTTGCTAAGAAAAATGGTGACGGGATTGTTTGTGACGGCGTTCTCGTTCTTTATTTTTGCCCTTGTACAAATGCGAATCAATGTGAGCTTTTCTGGATTTCCAAGTCCAGGAAACTAAAAATACTAAGCTCCAATGTTTTAGCCGACCCTGCCCGAATTGCCACAGGCCTCAAAGGCATTTGTTTCTGTGATGAATACTTTCGATAACTGTGATATCAATGTCACCGTTATTGACGCGGACGGAAATTTTATGACTGCAATGGTGGCAAGAAATTCTGTAAGTCAAATTCAGAACGTTCTAGAATCTCCTAGAAGTTGGAGGAATTCGATTGCCTTCTAGAGTAAAAATACTACTACCGTTTTAGATTTCAGAACAAAATCATAATGTCCTAGAACTTTCTATGAAATTATAAAATTTCATTCTAAAATTCTAGAACTTTCTACGAAATTTGACAATTTTTTATACAATAAAAGGCGCGTATTTAAACATTTATGGGAAACTGTTTCAAAAACTAGCGAAATTTTGGGAAACTAGAACATTCTAGAAGAATATTTGATGTTCTAGAGGTCTTTCTTTCAATGCTAATTTCAGAGCTTGATCAGCAACAAACTGATAAATCGAACGGAACTGTTCGATGTCAAAGCCGGGCATATCGCCTTGAGCGTTGACTATGTCAGTCCCGAATGCCAGAGTCCTCCGATACCCCAAAATATAAGCTACGAAGTGGAAAGCGAAGAAATTCACTATATTTATGTCGGAAACATGGGCACTTTCATTGCCAAAGCAGATCCCAAGAAACCGACGACGGGCACGGGTCAATTCAGTGTTTCGTAAGTGCTTTTGGGTCTTTAGCCTGGGGCGTGTTCTCCGAGCCCAAAGGGTGAAAAACATTGACAGAGGAAATTTGGAGAGAGCGCTTAAGCTTGAACTTAAGTGCAAGTTATTTGCCAATAGCTTACCTTCAATTTGAGCTATTACCTGAATCTTTAGCCTACGCTTGAGCTTACGCTATTCGACTAAACCTTAGCTTCAGTTTAAGATATTACTAGGATCTTAAGCCTAAGCTTGGGCTTAAGTCTAACCTATTCGCCCATAAGCTAGCTTCAATTTGAGCCATTACTTCAATCTTAAGCCTAAGCCTGAGCTTAAGTCAAGCAAATAACTGTTCACTTCAGCGTTGTCTTGGCACTCTCCGACGAGACATTTACCGGAAAAGTAGCCCTGTGTCGGAAAAGTGCGCAAGAGTCGGAGAAGACTGTGTGCGATCCTGGCAGACCCAAGGATTATTACCTGTTGGACACTGTGAAAGAGAAGGGCGAAGAAGAGGAGGCCATAAGTTTGGTCAATTACACGAGCAGCGAAAAGCGGGAGCAGAAGGCAACATTGTATGCCCATAAGCATGCGAGGTCTGGAAAGTGAGTTCGAGATTGCTTCAGGGCTTTGAGTTTTTCTTGAGTCTTTCTTCTTTTATTTGATGATAATTTCAGCTGGGAGCTTTTCTATGTTAATCCGACAATCGGGAAGCAGGTTGAATCCGGTAACCAATCAACGGGGTCCACGAACTTTGTACCCGCAGGCATTGACTTCCGAATTGAGGCTCAAGGAGGCGTCTATGTCATCTTGATAACAGGAACGATGAATCAGGTGAATCCGTTGTTGTATGATGTCTGAAGTTCGTATTAAATTCTAACTCCTTAAATTCCAAAATGATCTAGAAGATTCTAGAATGTTTTAAAATAATCTAGGGGTGGGATTCTCCTAAATTTGGAACTCCTCGGAAATTTATGTTAGGTAATTTTCTGAAACCTTCCAGAATATTCTAGATCTTTTTGAAATGTTTCATAGTTATAGTAACAAGTTTCTAGAACATTGCGAAATGAACTGGAAGGTTCTAAGGAATTTGGTCCTTATGTCTAGTCAAGTTATGTTTTGTTTCAGCCCGAAAAACGAGTGTTCCAAGTCGTTCCGGACAACTCCATATCAATTCTCTGGCAAATACCTCAGATTGTCATAATGGCAATCGCCGAGATTCTCTTCGCTACGAGCATTTATGAGTTCGCTTATACAGAGGTAACCTTTTTTTCCGAAGTGCAGAGATGGGAAGTCTCGGAAAATGGTATTAACCATTCGACATCCAATACCCTTTTCGGGGGTATTGGGACGGGGATGCCTTCCGGGGATCTACCGTACCCTGAGAATGAAATTTTCTAAATTCCTGAAATTCCAGGTTGGCAAATCCCTGAAATTATTCTCGGAAAAAGAGTATTGACCATTTGTCATCCAATACCCCTTTTCGGGGGTATTGGGCCTGGGATGCCTTCCGGGGTTTTACCGTACCCGGAGAATGAAATTTTCTAAATTTCTGAAATTCCAGATTGGCAAATCCCTGACTCAGAAAAAAGGTATTGAC